GTCTAGCCCTACCTCCCGAGTTATCAGGCATTCACAATGTGTTTCACGCATCTATGTTGCGTAAGTACGTATGCGACCCCGATCATGTCATCCCTCACACGGATATTCAGGTTCAGCCAGACTTGTCATACGAGGAGCGACCGGTAGCTGCACTAGACTGTCAGGTCCGTCGGCTCCGGAAGCGAGATATCCCCCTCGTGCGCATTCAGTGGGATCGCCACGGAGCTACCTGGGAGGAAGAGTCAGACATTCGCGCTCGTTTTCCAGATTTCCAATTTTGATGTACATATTCTGTATCTTATGTACACAGATCATGTATAGTAGTCATGTTTTGAATTTCCGAGGACGGAAATTTTGTAAGGAGGGAGGATTGTAATATCCCGAGATTTAATCGGTATAAATTACGGTTAATTCCGATATAGTAACGTTATCGTTTATTATTGTCGGAATTAATTAAGTTCAGTCGGGATTACCGAAATCTATTTTCGACGTACCGTTTACGTCCGAAATAATTTTGGTAATTAAGTATTATGTTTAATTAACAATTAAACATAAAGATAGTGATTAATTAGTGATTAATCACAATTAAAGTCCTAAAGCCGTGAGAATTAGGGCAAATTTTCCCAAAATTATAAACAAACACCGTGGGCTTCTTTAGCATAAGGGAATCATATTTCCTCCAATCCTATTTAGGCAAATGTCAAGCTAAGGGAAAGATTAGTCATCAATTTAAGTTATGAGGTTTAAACAAGTGTTGATTAAGGGGAAAGCCACGTCTTTAGTTCGTGGCCTCTAACCTCGCACGACCATCTTTAAAAAGGGAGAAATGATCAATTTTTCCCCTCACCTTCTCCTATAGTAATTCAGAGCTACATCTTCCCTAAGTCCCTCTATACTCAGCACTCTATTCAGCAAATTTTCCTAAGTTATTTTGCATATCGCACGGCCAAAAGGGAAGCCATCGCACGGGCACGCGAGGTGAAGAGATCACGCGGAGTTCTACGATTTTCGTCGAGCGAACTAGGAGGTAACCTTCCTTCTCTTTTGTGTTCATGTTCATTAGGTTACCTCTAGGTTCAGAGTTCGATTAATTGTCGGTAATTTCAGATTTAACCGTGCTTAAGACGTATATGCCTAAGTGATTTTATCACCGAACGAATTTCGATTCCCTCCGACAACTTTCGAACCCTGATTACCTAAATGTTCAGTTTAGTCTAATTGATGCTCAATATTATCAGATTGCTGAGTAAATATGAAGAAAAGCCGATGAAACGGCCCCAGCCGACGCCGCGCCTATCGCGTAGGGCCTCGGGTAGCAGCGGGCCGAGGCTTGTTACTTCAGTACTAATCATGTTCTTCAGTATGGTTAAGTCTTAAACTGTTCCAGTATAAAGATCATGTTATGTGATTTGGTAGCTGTCGGATAAAATGT